AAAGCTGAAGATGTTAGAATCATGAAGACAGACAGATTTCCTTTCATTGTCGCTCAGCCATGAAACCTATGAAACACAGGGCTCTAAGCGGCCCCATGAGGACTCCGTGAGGTTTTCTGTCCTCAAGATCATAGTTTCCCTGGGTTGGAAGGAGAAGGTCTTGGACCTTGAAGAGTGGCCCCTGCTGGGCCTCTGTGACCCACTAATTCATTTGGTGCCTTTGGGACCATCCATAAAATGAATTTGGGCCAATGTGAGACATAGAACTCAAGTCTCCCGTTTCCCTAAACTCTGACTCATTTGCTTGAATTCTGCAAACGGTCAGGGAAGGCCTTTGCAAATGTGCAGTGAGTGAGTTTGCCTCTAGGTCACTTTGGGTCCGACCCAGCCAGGTTGATCCGTCAGTGGTGCCACTTTGGGATGCCAGGCTGACAAGAGCTCTGAAAACAGACCTGTGTGTGTGTGTGTGTGTGTGTGTGTGTGTTAGCTGCTCAGTTGTGTCTAACTTTTTGCGACCCTCTGGACTGGAGCTGGCCAGGCTCCTCTGTCCATGGAACTCTCCAGGAGAGAATACTGGAGTGGGTGGCCAGAGTAGAACATCCTGTAGAGGTGCCCACCCGCCTCTTGCCTGCAGGGTGGTCCTTGACCACCCTGTGTTTATGCTGCCCCTCGAAGAAACAAGTACCGATCACCTCTCCCGACCCAGGAAGGTGCATTGACATCACTGTCTCCAACTCTCCACCGGGAAGCCAGGTCACACACAGCACAGAGCACGCTATCCAGAGCCCATTTGCGAAGGGGAAATGGGTCCCCTCGTCACGTGTTGAGGGAACAAGAAGCTTTTTCGAATCACAGGTATTCTTGATTACCACTCTGGCGGTGCAGGAATCTTAAGTGCCTTCCGAATCCTCAGAGAAACTTGCCTAGAGCCACAGATGCTTTCACGGGGGGTGATGTTTATGTTGCTCTGTTTCTTTGAAGATGGGGGCCCGTTTATCAGAAGCTTACTGCTGTTCTATTAGGGACACATGGTTATATGGAGATGTGAGTGCGAGTTCCCAAGCCTTGCAGGATTTCAACACCTGAGAATCAAGAAGTGAGCTCCGCTCTCAGGCATTTCCACTCCTGACATTCTGTGAGCTCACGTATCTCTAGTAGCCTGAACGTTTAATTAAGCAGAATTTTCCACTTGCCAACTGTGCCAGACAAATGAGAGGACTCACTGTGTGAGTCAATAAGAAAACCTACCCCGGACGGCCTTCCGCTAGAGAATGTCAGAGCAAGAGTTACTGTGGGCAGTCAGGGAAGGACATCGAAAAGAACAAAGTGTACACAGTACTCTTTGTATATCAGAGCCTTACAATTTGCCGACGTGCGCCTGAAAGTTAAACCTTCCATTACATAACTTTCTATCCCTTTCTTAAAAATGTTCCAGTCGCATTGGCATGCTTTATGATTTGCCTTGCTTCAGAGATAAGCGCTTTGCAAACGACTCAAGTTCTCAGGGGTTTTTCTCATTGAAAAGGTTGTGGTTAAGGACAGACAAATTAGGAGACTGGGGTTGACCTATATAACACGACTAAGTATAAAACAGCTAACTAATGAGAACCTACTGGATAGCACAGGGAACTCTACTCAGGATTCTCGAATGACCCCTATGGGTACAGAATTTGAAAAATGATGGATGCTTATATATGTATAACTGAGTCACTCTGCGGTACACCAGAAACTAACACAACTCAATCAGCTACACCCCAGTATGAAATAAGAATTAAAAAATTAGATCAATAAAGGTGGAGGTTAGAAGAGTGACTGAGCAAAGAAGCTGTTTAGGTAGAACATTCAGAAGGGAAGGGGGGATGTGCCTCAGATAATAGCGCATTTCCCAAACCATCCAGCCCTAAAATAGGTCGCTCTCCACACACGTAAACGTGTGTGAGGGTTCAGAAATTACGGAGCTTGCTGGGCTCAACCCTGAGTGTGCACTGGGGCCTTTTTCTGGACAGCCAGCTGTGAGCTTCAGGCAGCTCTTTCCACTCCCTGGCATCACACCCTGTCGGGCCAGTGGGTCAAACATCCCTATAAGCTGATGGGAAGGGTATTTCTTTTCCATTCTGGCCCCAAAGGAGCCCAGGAGCCTGTTGTTGTTTGAAAAAAAAATAATTAATTTTCTCCTCCAATGGCTTATATCCTCCAACCCATGACAATTTTAAAAGGTGATTTTTTTTTTTAAAGCACTTGCGCTTACAATGTTCACTGGAAATGTACAGGCAGGGAACGGGGTTCACCTAGGATGCTCTCTTAATTCCATGTGCAAGGAGAATTACATACTCAAATGTGGAGCTCAAACTTGGCCACATCTGGACGAGACCAGGATCGCACGTCAGGACTCTGCAGACATTTTGCTGGTGAGGCGCTTTCACTAGATTAATGCAATTGCTCAGCAGGAAAACAGGCTCCTATTTGTAAGAACCTAATGATTAAATTTTATCAATTCTTTACACCACTTATGGCAGTTCTTTATATTCTTTTATAATTGATGCTTTCAAACTGTGGTGCTGGAGGAGACTCTTGAGAGTCCCTTGGACTTCAAGGAGATCAAACCAGCCCATCCGAAAGGAAATCAACCCTGAATATTCATCGGAAGGACTGATGCTGAAGCTCCAATACTTTGGCTACCTGAGGCAAAGAGCCGACTCATTGGAAAAGACTCTGGTGCTGGAAAGATTGAAGGCAAAAGAAGAAGGGGACGACAGAGGATGAGATGGTTAGATGGCATCACTGGCTCAATGGACATGAGTTTGAGCAAATCCTGAGAGACAATGGAGGACAGAGGAGCCTGGCATGCTGCAGTCTATGGGGTTGCAAAGAGTCGGACACGACTTAGCAACTGAACATCAACAGGAACAACGACAGGAACAAAAGATTATCTGGAAAAAGCAACCTGAAATGGATTATATGACTTGTGAAAGCTTCTCTACAATGAATGTGACACACACACAAATAAATACAATGAATTAATTGAATATTTTAAAAGGTGATCTTAGCAATGATCTTATTCTTCAGGGGAAGGCAGTGTGTTCAGTTAGGCATCTTTCCGTGGTGATACTTACAGAGATGTATTATAAGGTTGTCCTCTAGGGGGTGTTAGGTTTTCAGCAAAGCCCAGTGCTGCTGAAAGGCATTCGAATCCAGTTAGCACAGACAGGCAGACGATCCGGCTTCCTTCTCTCTGGGAGGCAGGCGTTCTAGGTCCCATACCCTGAATTTCACATCTCAGGAGCTGTATGGACAGGACAGGACCCATAGGGCTTTCCATGGGCATAGATGTGATTCTTGAAGGCCCCCAAATACTCTCATATGAGTTGGAGAAGGCCATGTGAGTCAAACCAGCAGAGGATCCCTCCTTCCTACTTAAACCCACAATGGGCTATTTTTGCTGTTCTTTCTTAATTAAACCATTGCTTGGGGAGTCTGCAAACCTCTAGGCCTCGGGAGCCAGCAACTTGAAGTAGTCAAGTCCACGACTGCAAAGCATACAGCAGGACGGCTGTGAGGTCCACAGGTGACCAGGTGTCAACATCTGCAATACTGACAGGCTCTGGGATCCTGAATTAATTAGTTAAGCTCCCACATCTCTGATTCCTCATTCACAAAAGACTACATCCTAAGGCTATGGGAGGATTAACCAGGACAACTCAGAGGAAATGTCTGGTATGCAGGAAGGGTCCCATAAACACTATTAGTTGCTTTTATTCCAGAGTCTGGGTCCAGTCCTCATGATGTGGCCTCAGCCGGTCTCTCACTTCCCCCTACACAGACCCTTTCATCCCGCCTACCCCCCTACACACTTATCCCCAGTCTTCCCTCTGCTTCCTCACCTGCCTTACCATCTGAGATCTCACCCAGGTCTCTGATGTTTAACTGCAGCTGAAACCGTAGAGACACAGTTTCCTCCTCTAAGAACCTGACGAGGTTTCTCCTATCTCTGAACAATATCAGGGACACAATGTCTTGATGCAGAGGTGTGTGTGTCTGTCAAATGTGTGGAACTGGACGCTTAACACAGGTGCATTTTTTTTTTTTTTACACTAAGTTGTACCTCTATCAACCAACCCAGTCAGAACATAATGAGAAGACGTCAGTCTCTGGGGACAGGGAGGCTTGGCTCAAGCTCTGATGCTTTCTCCTTGGCGGGACACTGGGCCTCTCTCGCACACGCTTCCTCCTCTGCAGATGGGGTGGCTGTCACTTTCTCCTCTAGAAGTGAGGGTTTAGAGGTATAGTGTACATGCGTGCTCATCTGCTTCAGTTGTGTCCAACTCTTTGCAACCCCATGGACTGTAACCTGCCGGGCTCCTCTGTCCATGGGATTCTCCAGGCAAGAGTCCTGAAGTGGGCTGCCATACCCTCCTCCAGGGATCTTCCCCACCCAGGGATCCAACCCTCATCTCCTGGGTCTCCTGTATTACAGGTGGATTCTTTACCTCTAAGCCACCAGGGAAGCCCTAGAACCATAGTAACAGTAGGCAAATGCTTTGCACCAGGCTTGCAAGTTGATGTTTACATGATTACTAGGACCTTCATTTTTGGCACAGGCATTTCTATGTTGGTCAGAGACCTCTGTTTACCACAAGGTACCCTTGAGGACAGAATATGTGTGGGCTTTTTCTTTCCCATGTGTCTAGCAGAGAGTAGACATGGGTGTGTTTAGCTAAACACACTGACTTTTAGGTACCAAACATTTAGAAGCATCAGAACTTCAGGCTCTGCAGGATGTCATGCTATATACTATCACCCGGGTTTGCTAAGCCTGCCTCTTTTGAAGTCTGACAGACACTTTACTTGGCTGATAACTCAGCTATGGCTCCCCAGTGTACAGTAGAACTTAATAACACATCTCTCCTTGGGATCGCTCTTTAGGTTCACACGGGTTGTCTGTTTTTCTCCTTAAAGCAATGGAATGACCGTGGAGTTTTCTGGACCAATAAGTCACTCTCTTTTTCATGATTCAAAGTTAGGCTTTTATTTGGTTTCAAATTAAAAAAATAAATTTCATTATTAAATAGTGAGATGGATCTAACTGAGGTTCAGAGAAGTAGCCGACTCAGGAATATACCACCAGGGGTACAATTCAGGGGTGGATCGCCTAAAACGAAAATGAGTTGTTAGGTTGTCATGTTTGTTCAAAGTTCGACAGTGGCATAATTCAAAGGAGACGGAGATACAAAGTTTCAAATGTTTACAATGGATGAGAGAAGTAAACCAGCTTATTCTACTGCAATCCCAAATGGGTTTCCCTTCCGATGCCAGGCAGCTCGGCCACTACACCACGGTGCTGACGTCGTCGGGTTCATCGGCTTTCTTCTGCCTGCTCGGCAGGGACTTCAAGTATTCGAGGTGTCTCCGCGCATCCTCCTGATTCTGCCTCACGTAGTACACCACGTAGGAGATCACCATGGTGAACCAGCCGAACATGGTGACCAGCATGGCGTAATCAGTCGTTTTTTTGGGGAGGTTACAAAGGTCGGCGTCATTGGCAGCGTTGAGGAACGGCCTCCCTGCGTGCTCGTCCAGCACGGAGGTCTTGCAGATCACGCTGTGGGCCGTCTCGTGGTTGGAGACCATACTGCGCAGGACCTGCTGGAGCGTACAGTCACAATGCCAGGGGTTGTTGGCAATCCTGGCCCTGGCCTTCAGGTTATTGAAGGCGTTTTTGTGCACGCTCTGGATCCGGTTGTCAGACAAGTCCAGAGTCTGCAGAGTTTCCGCGACTCCCTTGAAGGCGTGCTCGTCGATAAACTCGATGCCATTTTTGGACAGGTTGAGGACTCTTAGCTGATGGAGGTCCTTAAAAATCTCATTGGGGATGGATGTGATCTGATTGGAGTCCAGGTACAAGAGGACCGTTTCAGGCGGAAGATCTCTAGGTATTTCCTTGAGATTCGCATTGCTACAGGTGACATTCAGACCCCCAGAGGAAGAACAGAGACAGCCCTTGGGACACATACTGGCGGAATGGAAGCACAGTATCATAAGAACAAAGCTTTGGAGGAGGAGACACATGGAGAGGGAACGCGTTAACCACAGGTCCACCAGATTCATGCTGGAATGTCAGCATAATCACAGCCCAAGCCTCATCTACTCCGACACGCACGTGTGCTCACGGCCCCGGCCCTGCCCACACTGTTGGTCTCCTTCCGGCGTGGTCCAAAGGGCTGCTACTCACACACGCATCTCTTCATCATGCCAGTCCTTGCGTGGGCACCTAAAGGGAAGAAAGCAGATGCAATGAGCTCTTTTGCAAACGCAGGGGGTGGGGTGGGGTGGGTGCATCGCAATGAAACAGGCATCTGGCATTTTATGTGGGCAGGAGAGCTTGTTACGCAGGTAATTTCCATCAGCACCACTGGGAGTTATCTGCGTAATCGGAGTCTCTGCTCAAGTCCCAGGTGCTGGGGGAGCAGAAGGTCAACAAACGACATTTCCAAGTGACGTCGCCTTGGTTCCTGGTGCGGAATCTGAGCAAATGGTCCAGATTCCTCTCCTGTCCACTGGCCTTCGCCCCATCCTGCGTCCTTCCTAAAGTCGAAAGCAACCAGACGGAGTCACCCCTCTCCCTCCTCCTGCAAGAGGCATCAGTGCGACCGAGCCCTTCATGCGGGCGGCAACGAGAAACCACCCTGATACTGTACGGTTGTTGACCATAGATAACAACGGCTTTCATGGCTTTTGAATGGCTGTCCAATTTGGAGTATTTTCCCTAAAGAAACCCCTTACTTGGATTATGAATGGGATGAACGGGTACATCCCAACCTTCCCAGCACAGTGTTTCCAGGGGCCTCCAGCCTGGAATCGCCAAAGGAGCTGCCTCCCTTGGGGCCTCTGGGGACTACACCCTACCCGGAAGGATGTCCTTACCTGAATTTCCAAAGGATTCTCTTTGTTTTCTAAACAATGTAGCCCTTCTCCAATAGATCTTTGAATATGACACACAGCTTCAGGTCTTTTTTTTTTTCAGTATAAAAAGAGTTTTAAGACATACTAGCCTCTTATATGTAAGTCAAATCATTAAACTGTGCGCCTTAAACTTACACAGCGCTGTATAAAATTATGTCAGTAAAGCTGGGGGTGGGGGGTGGGGACCGACATAATTAGCAGCCAAAGAAATGCAACTGTAAAATGAGCTATGAATATTTTTCTTCTATCAATATAATTTTTAAAAATACCATCTGTATGCTCATAAGAGCAGAATAATACGGGATCCTCATTAACACATATTTTGAGAATATGTTTTGGAAAGAAATTTGGCAATATCTATTGAGAACATTAAATTTTACATATATATGTGTGTGTATATATATATATATATATATATATATCTTTGATATTGTAATTTTCTTTCAAGTAATCTATTCTAGGGAAATGTTCTAAAATAAAACAAAAATGTAACGTCCCCCCAAAAAAGAAATACTAGCCTCTAAGTCTTCCTCAATACCCATTCTTTTCTTGTGTGTGTGTGTGGATATATATATGAGCATTTATATATATAAAATCATATTTATTTTCTTTGTCCCTCAGTCATATCCGACTCTTTGCGACCCCATGGACTGTAGCCAACCAGGCTGCTCTGTCCATGGGATTTTTCCAGGAAGAATACTGGAGTGGGTTGCCATTTCCTTCTCCAGGGGATCTCTCTGACCCAGGGACTGAACCCATGTCTCCCGTGTCTCCTGCACTGGCAGGCAGATTCTTCACTGCTGAGCTACTGGGGAAGCATTATATATATAATATATGTACATATCCCCTGGAGAAGGGAAAGGCTACCCACTCCAGTATTCTGGCCTAGAGAATTCTGTGGACTGTATAGTCCATGGGGTTGCAAAGTGTCGGACATGACTGAGAGCCTTTCACCTTTCACATATATATATATATTTCCTGTTGAGCTGTGGTTGGAAAAAGGCCTAAGAAACTGCAAAGCTTTAGATATGAGCAAGGTTACGAACTTACGCCAAAATAGAGATGTGAATAAGTTTACACTTGAAACCGCTCTCCCGTGTAAAGAGGACAGGCACTCTCGCAGACGGGGGAAGTGGCCCTCAGGCAGACTCTGTACCTTGCCCACGGTCACAGAGCTCATAAGTGGTACAGACGGCAGTCAAGCCAAAGCCTTTGTTCTGACTGGTGAGTCTCACAGTTCTTCTCACTACCCCTACAGCTCTTTCCCGATTCCATCTGCTCCATGGGGACAAACAAAATCCAGGGACTGCTGCGGCATCTGATGCTGTTACGTGGCGGCTCAGTCCCACGCGGAGGACCCCATGAGCCCCAGGGAGGGGGCTCCCTGCCCCGTGGAGGGAACCCGTGTCTGACTCCAGAGGATTCTCTCTCAGGATCTAAGAAACCAGGAGAAGGTTCATCCCTCTTACAGCCGTGAGCAACAAAAGACTCTGAAAACTTGTCTTTTCTAAAGATCCCAGATGGATAAATAGAGAGGAAAATGACTCCAAATGTTACCAAACTCACAGAAAAGAAGATTAATGTGAGCTGAAAACATAACGAACTGGGTTGTTCATCATGGGAAAAAAAATCAGATTAGCAACAGCAGAATGAAATGAATGTGCTTTTGGAATCTCGAGTCCCTCAAATGCCAGAGAGGCTGGAGCTGAACCCCGAGGCTGACTAAGCCATCCGTCAACAGCTCGTTTCATCTGCAGTGTAGGTCCACCTCCCTCCCATGTTTTCCTTCCTGCAAACCTTCATCGCGGGGCATTTGGGGACTGTAGTAACTGCTTAGATGGGGGAGAGAAGACTTAAAAGGAAGGTACCGGAGGCAACATCAGAGAAGGAGCAGGGTGGCAGAGGACAAGGCACAGGCTGCTGGACAGAGGAGAGGAGATGGAGAGATGAGTGTGAACATGGGAATTAGAGTTTCCTGTCCTCAAGCAACTTCCACCAATTGAGCTTGCGCCACCTCCACCTGCCTAAATCCTGTGAAACGGTGCAAAGCCTCCTCAGGAGGACACTCACATCTCTCCAGAGACCGCGTCCATCTGGAAAAAAGTGTTCTGTAATTTAAACTATGGGCTTCCCAGGTGGCGGTAAACAACCCTCCCGCCAAGGCAGGAGGGTTTGATCCCCGGGTCGGGAAGATCTCCTGGAGAAGGAAATGGCAACCCGCTCCAATATTCTTGCCTGGGCTACAGTCCATGTGGCTGCAAAAGAGTCAGACACGACTTCGGTGACTAAACAACAACAATTTCGACTCTAAGCCCTGTGAGGGCAGGGACTTGTTTCTGCCTCATGTAGACATAATAACAAACAATTAAGAAGTAAACAGTGCACTGAGTTTGTATTTCAGCTTTCATCCTTATGAGCGCTGTGCTCGTGGGCACGTTATCAACCTCTCCAAATCTCACTCCCCTTCTCTTCATATAGAGATTATAAAAGCATCTGATGACAATGTTGACATGAGAATTGTATTAGATAATCCACGCCAAGCATTTAGCACAATGCATAGTAGATAGCAAGTGCTCAACACTTGTTAGCTATGGTTATTATTACTATTATTCCAGAAGCATTTCCAACTCCTAGCATAGTGCTACATAAATATCTATCATTGTATGAATGAATCTGAAATATTCAGCAATCTAGCTGTGCTTTTTCTTCCCTACGGTAATTATTTTCATTATTTTGACACATAAACATCGGCTCGTCAATGTCTGTTGGTTTTACATGTCAAAACAGTAGCCTCTGGCAAAATCACAAGTGTAGACTCCTCCTTGAAGAATAGAACTTTTTCTCAGCACACATCTCTAGACTTAGTCATTGTTTCTCCAGAAAGGTCAGTCCAGTGGTCACGGTCACAGACAAGAGGTGGTTAGGATGAATCTTCTCAATATCAGAGTGCAGTTTGTCTTGAGATGAAATCCTTCATGCCCTAAATGGTCCACTACACACAGGATGGAATGCCTGTTGGGAGTATAAATCCTGCATATTCCTTGCATTTAAAGAGGTTGGACTCAAAACTAGTTCATTTTCTCTCTGTGATTCACAAAAAGGGGATGGAATCTTCTGGGGTTGGTTAAATCGTGTTCTGCAACAGCCTCTAGAGCCGCCACCCCCACCCAGGACTTTGAAGTGACAACAGACGCAGAATGTAGAGACGTCCAAAGACACCGCATCAAGGTTACCTCCAGCAGGGGGGACAGAAGAACTGTCTCTCTGCTCTGTCGTGCTGATTGACTGTTTTCCAAAGGGATTATCAGCTTGGCATCGCCTGCAAGTACTGGTTAGCTAAACAGCGATTCCCAGGAAGGGAAGCCGCGGGGAGCTGTGTCTCTTAGAGTAAAAACCGGGCATTCTGCAGACATCAGTGCTTCTCCACCAGAGGGCAGAGCTAAGGAGGTGCCTAAATGCCCTCCTGTTCTGACCGCGACAGGTCTACCCACAAACTCAGAGGAGCAAACAAGCCATCCTTCTGCGGGGGGCGGGGAGAGTGGGGGAATGCCTCCTTGCTAACTTCCGAATGAGCGAGTGGAACATAAAGGAGCCCTGGGGTCACCTTGGTGGGGTGACAGGGCACAGCGGCACCCCACCTGCCCTCTCGAGAAGGAAGACGGCCCAGCAAGGGGACAGCCCAGATGAAACAGCATCGCTTCTACCTCCTAAATTCCCCTTCGCATTTCTCAACTTATTACTTCTGCCCTATCCCCCCCTCACTCCCTTCCAATATGTCTGTGGCCACGAGGAAGCTACAGGATTTCTGGGTGTGCTGTCAGGTCTGAGCTGTGCCCCCAAAGAGGACGTTTTACCCCTAGACCCGAGCCTTGCTCCCACATCCCTGTCACACAAGTCTCCTTTCTCCCCTTTGGCCGCACCTCTGGGCATGCAGAACTCCCCCGACCAGGGCTCGAACCTGTGCCCCCTGCAGTGGGCGTGCAGTCTTAACCACTGGACAGTCAGGGAAGTCCCCTGTCGCACAAGTTTCTGAGCTGCAGTGATTAATGTTGGAATCGGGTGGCAATCCTCAAATACTGCTTCCAGAAAGAAAATGAAAAAAGGAATCAGCAGCCTAGTAAGTAAGAAGGCAGTTCTTTCAGTGGCTGATTAAACATTCTGTCTTGCATGGAAGCAACCTAAGTGTCCGTCGACAGAGGAATAGATAAGGATGTGGTACATACATAAAATGGAATATTAGTGTTTTTAGTGTTAGCTGCTCAGTCGTGTCCAGCTCTTTGACCCCGTGGACTGCATCCCGCCAGGCTCCTCTGTCCATGGGATTGTCCAGACAAGGATACTGGAATGGTTTGCCATTTCCATCTCCAAGAGGTCTTCCTGACCCAGGGATTGAACCTGGGGCTCCTGCTTTGCAGGTGGATTCTCTAGTGACTGAGCTACCAGGGAAGCCCCTATAACAGTATATTAACCAGCCATTAAAAAGAATGAGATAATGCCACTTGCAGCAATAAGGATGGACTTAAAGATTGACATACTGGGTGAAGTTAAGTCAGAGAAGGAGACATCCCTTATGTGTGGGATCTGAAAAGAAATGATACAAATGAACTTACCAGACAGAAGCAGACTCACAGACTTAGAGAAGGAACTTATGGTTGCTGGGAAAAAGGATGGGGGAAAGGGGT